TGGCCCACCAGTGCCCGCTGACAGCAGCGAGACCTCCAGCCAGCTGATCATCCAGCAGGTGCGAACGGTCGACCAGGACGGGAACCTGAAGGTGGTGTACCCGTCAAAGACAGATCTCTCCAACGACATGAACAACTTGACTATTATTTGGTAACAGTGCATTGGATTAAACCTCATGTTTGTACTCATTCACATGCTACGTGAAGTTATTTTAACAGTTTAAAGGATGGGGCTGTGTGAGCATTGAGGCTCATGTTTATGACTTTGACTTAACGTGCTTCAAACATACAATAACAATGTTGAACAATGGTTTATTTTGAAAAACTCTGACATTGTTAATACATGTTGCTGATTCATGTAAAGCTTTTTGAACCATAATTACTTTAATAAATCCATTTGCAAATTCAGCGATCATGCTGTGCATCTGAGGCATCATTTTTAAAACGGAGATAGCCATTCATGTGGAAATGGTGGTTGATTTTAACTCCGGGTAGTCACTTTTTATTAGTGGTGGATTTTATTGGCTTTTTTCAGAATCCCTTTTTAAAAAAAAAACAACTTTTCAAGTAAGTAATTCTAAGTAGGTTTTAATAAACTTTATTTCTGATTTTAGATATTGACATTCTTGATTATAGCTGCTCATGCTGAACACAACCCAAACAGGAAAAATAAACCGCATCATTTCCTGTGCAGCAGCACAACATAAAACAAGACTCAAAGCTTTTATAGTATGCAAATTTGCTATGTTTATTGTGTTATGCAGATTGTACAGAGTTGACAAATATTATATATTTCCCAGTGAGAAACCACAAGAATAACAAAGTGTCTTATTCAAAATTTGAATGAGACAAATTTTAATCTTATATTTGTGAAAGTAAAGTAAATGCTTGTGACATGAAACTAATATCAGAGATGTTTATGGAGTGATGGTGACAGGATCTGCAAAAGAGTGGAAAACAAAGGTATGGTAAGATTGTTGCCATATTCTGTGTGTATCTTGCATTTCTCCACACCCCGACACAAAAACTCTGTATGGCTAGATTGGCTGTTTGCACTGACAGAGCTAAACAGGTACTTACAATCACAAACGTAAGACACCTCCAGGTACTTGTACGTGCCATAGCAGGGGTCTCCAAACACTGAGTTGCTGGCGCTGATAGTACAGCTGTTTTTCCCGTTACACCTGTAAACGTAGAATGGCATGACTGAAAAGGGCCATTGAGTCACTGATCCCATGGAATACATTACTAAATCCTCGTATATAAAACCTCCACCATCGTGGTTCATTCTTTTCCTTATTTCATTCCGAAGTGAACAAGGGAACTTGTTTATGCTTCACTCACTGACCTCTGAGCGACTTTGGGAGTAGGGTTTGAGCAGTACACATTTTGAATCTGAGAGTCAGGCCGCCTGAAAGAGCAGGTGGTCTTGTCAAGGCGTCCGTAGTAAGCTCCGTAGACCAATATTACCTGCCCAACATCTATGCCAAAGAAGAGGAAAGAGGCCCGGAATGAAAAGTAGCTCATTTGTAGGTTCGTCACATTGTTCCAACACAAATACAAAAAAACGTAATCTTACCACAGTACAAACGTGCCAAAGAACCCTCACAGGTCACTGTTTGAACTGTCAAAAAAAAACCCAACAAAAATAAACATCAATCACATCACACAGACTGGTTAGCAGACTCATGCAGACATGTGACTGACTTGCTGGGAAGCAGGTATAGTTGGTCTCCAGGTATTTGAAGATGCCAAAGCAGGGATCCGAGGTACGAACGACATTTGTGTTTATCTCGCACACCTTCCTGCCATCACACCTTTAGGAATAACAGTGAGTGTTATGTATGTAGTGTATATAACATAAAATATATAGAAAAATACCTGAAGACTCACTGGCAGTTGAGCACTAAAATTTAATACCTTGCCTTAAGGATATCCACGGTGCCCCTTTGAGAGCACTGTGTATTCTGAAGCTGATTCTGAGGCCTGCCCTCACTGCAGGTCTCACGGTCTT